CGTGCTTTGTAACCTGGGTACAACTACACCAGAAGCCTGACTATGATGCAGTAAAACATCTAGCCTAAAAAGTGTAAGAATATCTTCTGCCTAAAAAGCTAATATTGAAACTTTCAAAGGTTTACATAAAAGAGGGATATTATAAGGCATGCAGATTAGATGTTGGTTATTCCAAGAGGATTGCAAGTATTTAAATTGGGGAGAAGTGGATTTTATGCCACAGGATACCTTCAGCAATTTATAAGGGGTACTTGGGTGGCCCATGAGAGTATGTTGCAGCTTTTTATTTAGAATACTGTGGTAGCTCTGTGACCAGTAGTTTATTAAAACAACATAGGATTTGGGGGCTTCCAACAGGACTGAAGAGGACTTTCTTTTCCCCATTACACAGGAGATCTTGTAGTATAAAATCTAAAGTACAACTTCTTACCTCAAAAATCTCAAGCACTGAAGGGACAGGATTGCCACCGGCACAGTGATTACGCATTGGGCTGCTAACCACACAGGTCACTAAGCAGCCGCAGGAACTCGATGACAGTGAGTTTAACTATGACATGCTCTTAGTAGTTTAGTTGTTTGTCAAGAAGCTTCCATGTATTGAAATACACATGCCACTCAAAATCCTTTCTTCGTATAGCATGATTTACAGTTCAAAAATTGCTGCCTTGCAAAGCATACATCCCTGGCCAGTTTGGCCATGAAGAAACATCGACAAAATTCCAAGACAAAAAACATCCTCTTAAACAAGTATCTACACAACTTTGTCAAGAATGCACCAATAAATACTCACAGAATGGTCTTGACTGGACCCAAAGAAGTGAAAAGAGTATTACAACACTGGAGAACCTGTTTTGAAAAGGCTCTGACCTTGCCCTTCTAAACCCTGCTTTTCAAAAACTATACATAATTTCTAAACAGAGCCTTACACGAGAGCCGACAGTAAGCCTTGAAATCTCTCAATAAACAATGTTTTGTATTTCAGGGATGATTTGCCATTATATTCTATGCTCTATTTCAAAACCCATATATTAGACTACAGCAGAATAAAATTTAAAAAACAGACAAAGCTCCAACAAACTAAGGTCACTTGGTATCCAAAGGAACCTCTCCAGCACTTCTTTATGCTTCAATAAATTAGATTACAGACCCGGCAGAAAGATTTATAATTTTTTTTAATTTAATAATTTCTTGAAAGTGAAATCATTGATTTAATATAACCAACTACAGTGCATATTAATTAACTATATGTTCTTTTTAGTTCCTTTCTCATAACAGAGAAAGTAAATTGTATGCTATGTTATGTTACATATGCATGTATAACAAAAAATTACATGTATGATAGATGCCAGTAAATCTGAGAGAAAAATAGATCTCCTTTTAAATGCAACTAATGTCGTTTACAAACTGAGAACACTCATTAATATAAAGTGTTTAAGTAAAAAGAAGCAAATGCTAATAATAGTGAGTACAAGAAAATGCTCTAAAATTAGTTGTAATGATTACACAACTCTTTTAATATTTTAAACTACTTAACTGTATGTGATGTAAATTATATCAATAAACCAATTAAAAATTTTTATAAAGGAAGACAGAAAAATCATATGTATTAGAATTTATTTTAAAACAAGAGATAATACAAAAGGGGCCACAAAGGTCCTTGGAAAAATAAGATGAAAAGAATGGAATTTTCCCAAGAGGTTAGTATTTATTTTATTATGCTTCTATTTATGTATATATTTATGTATTTAGAATCACTTTTTAAGGGTAAACTAGAGATTGAGGGTTGGGATTCCTGGAAGGGAACTTTTAAGTTTAATATACTGTTTTTGTACTATTTGATTTATTTTACTATGCATATTGTATATGGGGTGTCAAAAGTTTATAGAAGAATTTCAGTAACATAAATAAACCAACTCAATGCCTTTTTTAATGAAATAGTGCTCAAGTTTTTAGATCTATTTCAGTGAATCACTGTAATAAGATTGAACTATTAAGGAAATGGAACTGTTACTCATTTAATCTCTGCTGAATAAGTGAGTGAATTGAAACTTTTTTGAGAAGGTTGGGATTCCTAATCAATGGTAGGCTAAATAATAAAACCATATTAATTAAGAAGTAAATGCATAGTCAAAAGAGGGAATTTATAGGTCATAAATGTTTACATTTACTTGCAGTAAAGTAAGCAGGCACGCAACTTGGCACAGAAACCACTGTCTTGTTTCAATGGTGAGCTTACACAGCCAAAAACAGCCTACGAAAGCACTAAATCAAATATGGTTCTTAGCCAGGGGATTAATCAAGCCACGAAGAGCTAGATTCACAAAAGGCTTATTATTATTACTCTACATTATCAACCTAACAATAAAACAAAGATGAATATTCACTGTTTAACTGCTCTTTGAATTCATAAAGTTAAATGTGGCACCATGAAAAGTGGTTTTTAGAAAACTGGAAGACGGTTCCTGATTTGTACTTTGAAGTAGCAAAGTTGTGGTTTTTGCAAGGAGGCTGTGCGGAGGTTTAGGCATGGGGGAGATTAAGAAGCTGTGGAGTAGCAAAGAAATGAAGCTGGTGGGGGAGGAAGAAGGGAGATGAAAACTGTGTCACATATGCAAAAGGTCCCTTTTAAAAGGTTTGATTTTTTTTTAATATAGGCTCACACATCCTTAACCAAAAGGAAAGTGATTAATGAAGTGAACTTGACCTCCATTTCTTGATCCTGAACGTTTACACCAAGGATAGAAAAATGAAGAAGAGATACCTACACCTTAGACATAGAGGTACTTATTTCAGACTTTGGCAAGAAATAAATCTGATGAATCAAGAATTTCTCCCAGGATATGGGTCTGGGAAATCAAGTTGGACTGTATCTCTGTGAGAACCTATGTAGGAGGTGTTGAGATTTTTCCCACAGGTTTTCTTTGCTTGAACCATGGCAAGTACGGCAGAATGACTGGAAATACAAAATGACCAGGCTCTCCTTAATGAAGACATGTTCTTAGACATCATGAAAACACAGCCTTTAGTACTTTCACCTAGAAGGGGCTGAACTACATTTGGAAGCTTATAAAGTACAGGAGTTGGTGAACTGAAGGGTTTTTCTATATATATTTCTTATACAAAGTCTGAGGCACAACAGTGTTAATTCAGCTGAGACAGCACAAATTAATTATTTGGCTTATATAAGACAGATAGTGTTTCCTACAGAAGAGAATTGTAATTCTTTAAGCTTTGAAATTAAAAGATGGGCAGTTCGCTTAGTATCTGATTACTCTAAAAAATTTTGACAAGCAACAAGAAACTATATGTCCTTGACACAATGGACATATGTACGGATTGCGATAAGAGCTGTAAGAGCCCCCAAAAAGATGATTTAAAATAAATACATAATTCACTGCCCCTGCAATAAGTAAAATGACTCCTTGAATAATGTTGACCAAAAGTGCTATTTTCTGGACATGTTCAATATACGAAATAAGGTCATGCTTAGTTCAAATTTTACCGTATTAACAGAATTGAGGATTCAAGAATGAATAGTTTATTTGTCAGGGAGGGAAGACAAACAAAGCAAAGAGTTTACAAAGAATTCTAAAAAACAGTCAACCCCTTTTTGTGAGCCATTTAGCATAGCAGAATGTAGCAACCCTAAGAGTTGATTTATAGACACTCTGCATTATAGGTCAATAGATGGAAAACCGTGTCAAGCAATCTCTTGAGCTGAAAAAATTATCGTGTTTCAGTCAACTTTAATTGTGTCAGACCTGCTCTGCAATTCTGGGTCCATAAAAAAACAAAGAAGCTAGAAGGAAAAGGAGAGGGTGGATCACTTACACGACATTCTAGCTAGCATCAAACCTTCTTTCCCTTCAAATGATAAAGTTCAGTAATAGCTTTTTGAAGAGAAGTCAAGGAAAATTATAAAGCAGTAAGGGAGATCAACCACACAGGTTGTGGGGTACAGAAAGTCCTTCTTAGTATATAATGTAATGCCTACTAAAGCATCCAAATACTTCATCTTTGGGGTTTGCTCTATCACTCAGTAAATGGGAAGGGTGAGCATTTGAGATAAAAGAGGTCGATTTGCACTTCTTATACAAAATTGCACTGTAGGCAAGTGTGTCTGTAATGTATGCTGTGCTAAAACAAAACCCCCAATGGCGGTAAAGTATAGGCTTCTATATTGTGAACTTGTCTATGTATAGTCTTTGGGGAAAAGTCTGAGTTTGGTGAAGTCTGCCTGTTATTTGTAACATTCACAAAATGTTATGTTCACTTGCATTCTAAAATGGAAATCATTCACCTTGAGTTTGCTGCTTTGTCTAGCCTAGTTTGACTGAATCAAGAAACCGTCTTGTCACATGTGGTACTGCATCTTAGTGTGTGATATTTGTGTATAGTGTGTGCCCTCTGCCACAGAAGGCTACTGCACACACTTGAGTGTTAAATTTCTATAGACACTGGTAATAAAATATGAATATATATTCAAATGCAATTAAAAAAAAAAAAAAGAGGTCGATTTGAGCAATGTGAAAATGCCTGTTACAGTCAAGTATTTCATGTCACAATTCTTTTAGAAGTAAAGAAAAAGAGGATCATGCCTAAGAGAAAATCAACTTTCCAATTCTTTGTCCAATACAACAGTAATTATTATCACCTATTCTCTATATTATAAGAGATATTTTCTATAACTGAACCCATACACTAATTTCTTTTAAAACGATATCAGCACAGTTCAGATAAAGTGGGGTGGGGGCGGGGTGTGTTTCCACTGCTTTAGTATTTGAACATGTGACTGCATTAACAAAATGTTTCCTGCTGTTCAAGACCCAGTTATTCTGTTCTCCTGAGATGGTACTGAGTGCAAACTCCTGAAAAATAGGGATTTTGCATGGGGGGAAATAGTAAGCATTTCTCTTGTTAAAATAATTTTTAAAAAGCAATTTTGTTTGAATGAACAGAAATATAAACACTTAAAACACGGAGAGAAACTGGTGACTTACCTTGCCACTATCAGTTTTAAGGTCACACTGTCAACAAAAAGAAAAACAAATAATATTTTAAGACATTTCCAAATGAAATCTCCTTATGTGCACACTTCTAACTCTGAAACATGAAATTATCTACTGGTAGTAAATTACCTGGGAGACTGCAGGATCTGTAGAAGGTGCTGACCCCGCCCCCACCCAATTCAAGCACTCTGGGGTCCCTCATTAGAATGGTATGGGTAAATGATTTAAAAGTCATAGTTCCAAAGGGTCACTTCCTTGTTAACAAGAAACTTTTAAGAACCAAGCCACTATTTTAGGTAGAGATGCTGTTAACTCTCTTACAAAAATAAATAAATTGATCACAATAACTCCAAATCAGTTTGCTTGCTTTTCAGAGATACATTTCTGCTTTGCAAACTAGGAGCTCTATTATTATTAATTAGTGAGACTGGAAACTGGAGAAGTTATAACTGAGGTCTCTAGGTTGAATGGGTTTCCATTAAAAGAGTTCACCACCACCACGTCCATCCTGCTCTGGGAACGTTCAGTATACTCTCTCCATAACCCCCCTTAGTTCAGGTGGTCCTTACCGGATGCACGTCACCAATATAGTACTGCTTTAGCATTTCTCTGGCATCAGAGGAGTGGCCTACATCTTCAAAACTTTCACTTGCATCGATACCAGCTTGTTCCAACAGGACCTCCTCTCCTCCAGGATGCTACGAGGAAAAACAGTTCATGAACACACAGGGCTCTCCGAAAAGCAAAACAATGCTTTCCCCTCCTATTTGCTCCTGTAGGGAACTTTCGATTATTTAAAAAAGATTTTAAAAAATGGATCCAAACTTACTTGTATCTGTTTAATAAGTACCACGCTTCCTCAACTGAAAGAATCAATACCCACCCCCCCCAAAATAAATCTTCTACCACTTCAAGTCATTTTTTTTTTCTTGTAATTTTTTTGGAGCTAAAACTGACAATAACATAAGATTTACCATCGTTGAGTTTACAACTTAGAGATGAAAAATAATAATGATAATCTATCCACAATGCTACACAACCATTTCCACTATCTAATTCCGGAGCACTTTCATCACTTCCAAAAGAAATCCCAGACCAATTGGCCAAAACTAAAATTCAAACCTGTTGCCACCAAGTTGTTCCCAAATTCCCCCTTGTCCCATCCCTTGGCTACCACTATTATTTTCTGTCTCTATCATTTGTCAGTATATTTGCCTAGACATTTAATAGTAATAAAATCATACAATATGCTTTTGTGTCGGGAATCTTTCACACAGCATATTTTCATAATATTTACATGGATGAGGAGCTAGCTACTAAGTATAGCCATTCTCCATTCTTCACGACAACCCTGTCTGTGTCAGCTTGTTCTCCACAGGAGAAACTACTCCATAAGTAACTCAATGAATACGTTTTCAGAAATAAACCACCAGGCCTTTTCCAAGACACCTCTGAATAGACTCAAACCTCCAACCTTTAGGTTTCCAACCAAGCAAGTTACTACTTGCACCATGCCAAACTGTGAGAGAAAGAGCAAGACCAAATCAACCCCCCTGAGGTCAAGTCAACCTGTAGGGTCACAGTGGAACTGTCCTCAGAGGATTTCCAAGACAATAAACCTTTACAGAAGGCTACTACATGTTTCTCTTCACTACGTTGCCATTCATCAAAACGGGATCATTGTTAGTATATGATTATGCTAAAGATGTTTTAGTGTACATGGAAGTGTATATTCCCTATGCATAGAAAGGTATATTATATCCTGTACATTGAGACAAACATTTGACTGGTATTAGATACACATTGTAGCTAACTAGTCCAAGGTACATACAAGTTCAACTAAATGACAGACTCAAGAACAAATGTGTTCATAAGCCAGAGAATGCCTCTAAGTATATGGGATCAAAAGGCAACAACAGCAACTTGAAAGACTCGATGGGAATCTCAGAGGTTAGTGTGTTTGTGTTAAAGAGGGAGGAACAGCTCAGAAAAGGAGGGCGAGAAAAGTTGGACAAGTTGAAGAATGTTATCACTGCCAACGGGCTATAGAAACTGCTGAGCTGTTGAATTTTTTGCTGTGTATATTCTCAGCAACCACAAAATAAATAAAAAATGTCAAAAGAAAAAGAAAAACAAGGGCATGATAGGGAGTTTTAGAAAGGTTGTCAAATGCAACAACGAGGGCGAAGGGGACAAAGGTAAAGAAAAAGTCAGTGTTTGGCTTGGTTTGGTAAGATCAACTCTCTGACACTACAGCAGTAGGGGTGCAGGCCCACCTAAAGGGTTGGTTCTGCAGTGGAGATGCAGGCGTCAGGCTAACACACAGGAGGAAAGAATAAGAGGAAGGGGTGGTCCTGGAGTAAGTGAGATTATTTTTAAGCCATTCAAAGCTGATGAGAGAGAACAATTTAACGGAAAAAATAAGAGCTGAGGCGTTGTTGGGCATGGTGTTCTCGGTTACAAAGGAAAGAAGTCTGAAGATTAGAAGGGCAAAAGAGCAACTCTTCTGCTAAGGCTGTGGAAGATAAAAGGCCAGGATGGAGAAATAAGCACAGATAATGAGATATATATAAAGTGCCGCCACCCCAACCCGTGGCAACTCCCTAATTAAGTGTGGTTGAATACATAAATCTGAAATAGTACTTGTTAAAAAAGTATGACAGGGATCCAAAGGGGGGCATCTGTCACGTGGCAAGCCTTTTCCAGCACCACTTCAAAGCACAGAGAGCAGACAGGGGGGGCAGCAAAGCACTGGTGCAAGGATGAAGACTGGCCGGAGAACTGGGAGACGGAGGGGGTCAGAAAAACACTCTGTGCCACTAGTGGTGTGAGGTCATGAAAAATCTATCCGTTACATGTAATTAAAAAGAATATACCTGAGGTACAGCCACTGTGGGCTGTAGAGTTTAGCAGCTCCTCAAAATAATTAAGCACACCTACCCATAAGACCCAGCAAGCTGAACCCTGGATTTTCCCAAAAGTACTGAAAGCAGGAAGGCGAATTCCAGCTCCCCAAAGGTCACTGGCGCACGATTCACAACTGGGTAGAAACATCCTCAGCATCCATGAACAGAATAACACTGTGTGGTAAAAACACACCATGAGAGTTTTCTGCCGTAAAGATAAGGATGAAGATTTTGTATGATCCCGATTTTGTGAAATATGCATGTTGGAGATCAAGACTTAGTGGTTACAGGGGTGGGGAGAGGTTAAAAGGGAGTCACTGCTTAGGGAGACACTGAGTTTCTGTTAATGGTGGGTGAGAGAATAATTTGGAAGTGGATAGTGTCAACATTTACACACGGGGAGGAGATGAGCCAGTCAGGGTGCGATGTAGCAACAATGAAAAATACAACTTTCCTCTGGTTCCTAAATACTTCTTCCCTGGCCCCACTATCATGATCCGAATTCCACCTTGCAAGTCTGGCTTGCAGAGGATGTACACTGGTACAAATAGGAACTGGAAACATAGGGAATCCAGGGCGGATGATGCTTTCAGGACCAGTGGTGTGAGTGGCAATATTGGGAGGGTAGAGGGAGAGTGGGTTGGAAAGAGGGAACCGATTACAAGGAACTATATGTGACCTCCTCCCTG